GGGGTGGGTTGCGCCACAAGTGCATGCCTCTGTCGACCGTCATTACGACCCACACTCGATGGAGTTTCTGTTGCCCTGCACGTTGAAATGCGCGCATCGTATTGCGACAGCGCGAGCGCACCCTATAGATAATAAAGATACACAGGTATTCACATGGTTAATCCGTTGGCGCTTGCGCGGGAGCGAGGTTCCGTAGTGCGTGCAGCTTCACCCATTGTCAGCAGACCGACATATGGTATGATATTATACTTCAGTGAGAAGGTAACGGGTTCCGAGCCGCTGTGAAGGAAGGTTAGTATATGGGTATCGAACGTCATCGAGGGGGCAGACGTACTTGAAGCTTCGGACGAAATCATGCCAATAGTACTTGTTACGTCCGCAAAGGTCTAGCAGAATGTCCTCCTTACGCTTGACAATTCGGTCCCAAGTGACGACCTCATTCTGAACCTAGACACCGATCAGCACCGGGACAAGATGATCGAAAACACTGTAGCTTCGTCTAGACTCACCCCACGCGAGTTCGTGTACTCTGCCTGCATCCAGACAAATAGCTGCTTCGTGTTCCAGTTGAATAACGGTCGGAGATCTTCAAGGGGACTTCAGCATGCATCCGAATACAAAAAAGACGGCTGTACAGCCCAGCTTCGGCGTTGAAGTTCACGCGGCCTTGATCGAGCTTGATGTAGCGTATGTGAGGGGTATGCGTGTTGATCCTGTAGCTGATATTGAGAGAGCATTCATCGCTACAATCTCACGCTGTGTACACTTTGAACGACTTGATGTCCAGGGTGCCTTTGGGATCGGCATAGAACACGAACGATGCCGCCGCAATTGCGGTCAAGAGCACCATCAAACGTGTCGACGATGTTGCCGGGATATTGTTTATTCTAGCATATATGGTATGCATATAGTATTGAAGTCGCCTGGGGACCAGGATGAGCGGCGAAGGCAGGAAGGTAGACGCGTTGCAAGTGCCCGCGTGACGTGTCCACAGTCGCGAAACGCGTTCAACGCAAACGGCAAATCATGCTCACGCGCCCATTTCGTGCGGCGTGTGCGCGTCAGGCAGCCGCCTTGGACAGCGCATGGCAAGACGCGCGGTACGGTCCTGAAAACGCCCAGTGTGTTGATAGGACGCAACGGGTTAAACTTACTTACTGACGCGCGCCAGCACAGGCCAGCACCGTCGCGGCAGTCTCAGGTCTTGTTGTTCGCCTCTTGGTCCTCGACCACCATCATCTCCTTGCTCGCGCCGATCTGCAATGGAGGATCCTAGGATCTTGCATAGAATTATTTGCTGACTGGCGAGCTGGGCGGTACACTCATTCTTTGCTGATGTCTTGATCATTGGCGACGACAGTGTACCACGCGAAGGTCCCTCATCGCGTGAGTGTATTTCCAGTACCGAGGGATCGTAAAGAATGTTCTGCAGCGGATATTGTCCGTCGACCTCTGCGAATATCTCAGACGCGGTGTCTTGCTCGTGTGCTTCGCGTCGCTTCAGCATGCAAGCTGGTTGTATGATACGTATGATCTGTGCGCCACTGGATAGCTCTGCATGGTGTCCGAGGGCCTTATGTACTAATCTCCATTCTAGGACAGCGAATCACCACAACATGATGCCTGACCCTGCAGTTCTATGTATGCCCTTTTTCGCAGTTCGTTGGTTCATACTTATGCCATCCGCGCTAGCGTCGACGTTTCCGCACCAATGCATTCTACACTACTGGAGCAAGTCAACCTTGTTCGTGAATTCCGTCGTTCGGTACATCCTTATCAGCACTTGCAACATTCCCGTCGACCGCAAAGCGAAGGAGGGGAGACAGCTATTGAAGGGAACCCTCGACGCGCTGGCGAAGGGCGCCTCTGTAGGACTCTTTCCGGATGGCACCAGCTATACGGAACCGCGCCTCATACGCCGCACTTGAATACGCGAAATGGGTGAAGGAGAATCCGGACAAGGCCAGCAAGCTACCCATCGTAGTCGTACCTTCTGCCATTGTTTACACGAACAAGTCGAAGTACCGTAGTTCCGTGAGTGCAATGTCCATTGTTTTCCACATGCGTAGTCATCCCTCTGCAGGTCATCGTGCAGTGAGTTGCTCATCGAGTCCAAGGGGATCCCACCAATATGGCCCCAAGCTATGGCGACCCCCATCTCAATGGACCCTTACATGGAGCAATTCCTTTCGTCGGAAGAAGGACAAGCTCGTCTAGCCGTTAAAGATAGAGGCTGAACTTGTTCAGAAGACGCTGAATGCTCCAGACTGGTGAGGGTGATGCTGTATCGAACGTACTTGAGACTGAAGACCGTCAGGGATACTCTATATGCGGCGCGTATGGCACGCGACCTCCTTTGGTCGGACGAGTCGAGCTTGGCTCTCGAAAACTACGTTCCCGTGTCACAAACGTACGTCCCTATGGACCATCAGGTTCGGACTTGGCTGAATGGACTATCAGCTTGGTTGACTTGTTTGTGATGCCGACCGTTACCACCGACTTCAAACATGTCAAGCGCGCTCTTCTCGAGTACTATGCACTTTTGCAGTCCAAACGTCTCACCAACGCTGTTCTGGCGTCGTTACCCCTCCCCAGCACCCTCGATCCAAGCCGCCCTGTCCCTCTGCCTGGACGCCTCAAGACCCTACTCGTTCTGATCAGCGACACCATATCCAGCCTCGCTCTACTCTCATTCTTCGTGCTTCCGCTCTTCATACATGCTCCGGCATACGTCATGGGGCGCCTGGGAGCCCGCTTGGTCGAGGATGAGGAAGAAACACCAGAGCACCCGGTGCACGATGCGGCGCGGCGGGTCCGACGAGAATACGCGCGCGCCATCCTGCTTGCGAAACGCGCGCACTGGGAAGATTGGCTCGATCGGGTTGGAGAAAAAGATGTGTGGACGGCGAATCGCTACGCCGCCTCCACGGGATCAGATGGCGGCTCATCGCGCATACCGACTTTGGTCAGGAAGGGTGTCGAAGGACAGGCCGAGGTGAAGTTGGCGTCAAACGAGGAGAAGAGCGAACTTCTGGCTCGCGCCTTCTTCCCTCCGCCACCAGAGGATAGTGGGGTCCCGGAGAACCATGAGTATCCTCCGCCCGTCGAAGGGATGGCGCCAACCACGGAGGATCTCGTGCGCCGGCACATAGCGGCCTTAAGTCCTTACAAGGCACCAGGTCCCGACGGTATCCAGAACGTCGTACTCATGCAGTGCGTGGATCTGGTCGCACCACGGCTGCTCTGGATCTACCGCGCCATACTCGAGCTCAAGACATACTACGATGCTTGGCACGAGTTCCTCACTGTGGTTCTCCGCAAGCCGGGGAAACCTAGCTACACGGTGGCGAAAGCTTACCGGCCTATTGCTCTGCTGTGCACGATGGCCAAGGTGCTCACGGCCATCATAGCAGAGCAGGTAACGTACCTGGCACACCATCACTCACTGCTTCCGAAGACGCAATTTGGCGGCCGCCCGGGCCACACAACGACTGACGCCATGCACTACCTGGTAGACAACGTGACGTCGGCCTGGGCTGAGGGACAGGTTGTCTCCATCCTCTTCCTGGATATTGCTGGCGCCTTCCCGAACGCGGTCCCAGATGTACTGATCCATGACATGCGCGAGCGCCGGATCCCAGTAGAGATCACAGACTTCGTCAATCGCCTGCTGCTCAAGTTCGACGATTACGAGTCGAAATGGTTCGATGTCACAAACGGCATCCCACAAGGTGACCCGCTTTCGCTCATTCTCTATCTATTCTACGGGGCGGGCCTCCTCGAGGTTGTTAACCAACTCGACGGAGAAGACTCGTCTGGCTTTGTCGATGACACAAACCTTTTTGCTATCGGACGGGATTTCTTCGAGACCACTGAAAAACTTGTCAGGATGTTCGAACGCCTCGACGGCGCGCACGCTTGGGCCAAGAGCCACCACTTGGAGTTCGAAATCACCAAGTTCTGCCTCATGCACCTCACGCGCAAGAAAGAGAAGGACGGCCGGGGTCAGCTGGTGCTCATCAATGGACCGCCCATAACGCTCGCTGGCCACACCCTGTACCCGGTCGACTTGCACAAGTACCTAGGAGTACAGTTCGACCGGGAACTACGGTTCAAAGCCCAAGCCAGAGATGCGGCTGAACGTGGGAAGTCGTACACGCACCAAGTGCGCCGACTCACCAAGAACAACTACGGCCTCGCTCCGTCCATGAACCGTCGCATATACGAGGCAGTCGTGACGAAGAAGATGTTGTATGCCGTGGATGTATGGTGTCTGCCATCCCCTCGTGCGGTCCCCTGCGACGACCCTACGCTGCCCCGGCGACGGGGCACGGTCGGCGTCATCGCATCTCTGGCTAAGGTCCAGAGGATCGTACGCCGTAGTGCGAGACGGCTCCCACAGTCGTACTACTCACCACTACAGTACCTGCTCGCAATGTTCCCCGAGGCCCGACAGGACAGGATCGAGACCATCCGGCCTCTCCGCGCGAACCCGACATTCCGTACGACACGCACATTGCCAGCACCCGGGACGATTCCCAACGGGAGGACCGCGAGCTGACGACGGATATCCGCGTGTACACGGATGGATCCGGGCTTGATGGCCAAGCTGGCGCTGCGGCGGTGCTCGCGCGTTTTGATGGTCTGCACGACATACGCCGTACGCTGCGCTACCACCTGGGCCCCCTCTCCGAGCACACCGTATACGAGGCTGAGGCCCTCGGCGTCATACTCGGCGCCCATCTACTGGCCACCGAAGTTGAGCGGGCGGCGAAGACGGTGTCCATCAGCCTGGATAACCAACCCGTCATACGCGCGTCGGAGCAGCCTCACCGCGCGCAACCGGGTCACTACTTGCTGGATGAGTTCCGACAGATGATGGCAGGGCTGGTCACCGCGCACGACGCCCGCCGCGGCCTCGACTACTATAGGTTTCCGGCCATGACGACGCAGAGCTGAATGAGTTCACGGACTCTGAGGCGAAGCGTGCAGCGGGCGGCGACTCGAGCCCCGCTGAGGACTTCCCGGCGCTTCTGAAGAAGCACCCACCCGGGACCCTCGTGGCAAGTGTTGCGGCGGCACACCAGGACTACACGCGTCGTATTAAGGAGAGGTGGAACAAGGACTGGCAGGCCTCGGTGCGATATGCCAGACTCTAGCACATCGCGCCGAAGGCGCCGGCGCCCAACTTCATGCGCGGTACGTCGCGTTCTTCCCGCTACTCTAATTCGTTGTTGTTCCAGCTCCGAGTGGGCCATGCCCCACTCAACGGGCACCTACACAAGCTGAAGGCGGCGCCTACGGCCCTGTGCGTAGC